AAGGCAAAGAACAAGAACCATATGGTCCTATCAATTGATGCAGAAAAAGCCTTTGATAAAATCCAACACCCTTTCATGATTAAAGCACTCAACAAAATTCTGTTTGTTAAAGATATCCGCTTATGGTATTTCTGCCACAGCACCGTGAGATAACTAAGACATATGTCAGGTGTTTTAAAGTAAAAGGCCACTTGGTAGTTACAATAATAGGAGTCAGAGATTTCACAGAAAAAAAATTGTAAAAGGCTATCTGAGGAAGGAAGTGCTGTATCCAATTACTGTTTGGGGATGGTGATGAATAAGAAACATTTTTATTTTTCTTTCCTGTTTGCATAATATATTTTCAGACAGTTTGTTTGCAAAGCTCTGGTGGCATAATCTGGAGGGGGTTGTGCTGCTAACCTGGAGGTGGCTGGTTCAAATCCATCAGCAACTCTAAAGGAAAAAGCCAGGCTGGTTCCTCTTATAAATTAATAACCTCTGAAAACACACTGGAAGGTGAGTTATGAGTCTGCTCCAACTAAATGGCAATCAGTTGGGTTTTTTTTTTCTTTTACAGTGTTTTTTACTCACAAGCCACCCAAAACACAAAGGTACTTCTGAGAAAGGGTTCTGTTCTCCTAAATCTAAAAAGTTGTCTGAATCATTGCTTCCATGCTACAAACAATTTTTTGAGGGAGCCCACTAAAAAAAGGCAGTGGAGAAAGGGGGAGCATTCTTCTCTCTTTCCATCAGCCTTTGGTGTGCTGGAAGGACAGCACTCTAAGGAAGCTCATGCTGTGCTCTTTTAGACAAAAATTGAGGCAATGTGGAGGGAATATTAACATGTTTTGGGGAAAAAGAAAAGTCAAATCTACAGTGACTCTGGCATTACTGGGGGACTCTTCAGTTCCTCTCTCCTTCCCCTCATTCTTCTGCCTGCCCCCACTCCCTTAAAGACCTTAATGGCAATACAAAGTCCCCAGACTATAGGTAAGGGTCTACATAAGCCCCTTCCTTTAGCATCTTCTCTATCAGTCTAGTTACCATCTACACAAGTCTTATCTGACTATAAATAACACAGACTTCAGATGTTCTATCTTAAAGAGAGACATTCATGTTAGTTGTTCTTGTTGTATACCATTGAGTCTGAGTCAACTCATAGCTGATCCTCCAGGGGAGGTTTTCTAGGGCAGTAAATCACAAGGAAGAAGACTGCCTTTCATTCTCCAGTGGAGCAGCTAGTGGATTTGAACCACAGGCCTTTGAGTTGGCAACTAGTTTACAACTAGACCATCAGAGAAGCAAATAATACAGATTGCAATTACTTCAGTACCAGAAAACAGAGAATAGGAAGCTCACAGGAAGAACCATTCAATCCAGTCTATTCAGGGCTGTCCCAGTTTCTACAACAGAAGTCCCACCTTTAAGAAGTCCCTCAGTCCTGAGCAAACCTAAATGGGTGGTAACCCTAGTTGTTGTTGTTGTTATGTGCCCTCATGTCACTTGCGACTCATAGTGACCCTATGTATAAGAGCCCTAAACCCTGCTCTATCCTGTGCCAATCACACTGTCTCCGATATACTCATCCCGATTTATCCCAGTCAATGAATCAATCCACCTCATAGAGGGCCTTCCCCTTCTATGTTGTCCCTCCACGCTACCAAGCATGATGTCCCTCTCCAAGGACTGGTCCTTCCTTACAACATGTCCAAAGTATGTTAGACGGTGCCTAGAGGACTAGTAAATTTGTTTATTATTTGGAAAGGACTGAACTATTTTTAATGTTGATACTGAGGCGTTCCAAGAAAATCAAACAAATAAATGATGATGGGAAGCTAAAGAAATTTCTTAATTAAGACCCAGATAAGCCATTAAAACAAACAAACAAACAAATAAACAAACAAACAAACTGACTGCCACTGAGCTGGTCCTGCAGCCTCTTGTTTTCCCATTGGCTCCAAATGCCCATTCTCCTCACCTCAGAACCAGTTAGTACTCAGCCCGACAGTGCTGTGCTGGGAACTGAGACCCAACCCTCAGCCCACATACAAGCCCAGCTACAAGGCCTGGAACGTCTGAGGAACACTCTAGCCTGGTGCTTTGGGTACTGCTGATTTTAGTGATTTTTTAAAACTCAATAAAATGTAGAGTGGAAGATAACAAAGTGTTGCAGATAATTTATACCTATAATTTATAGAAAAATGGAAGGTTAACATGCAAAATACTTTTGCTGGAGGAATGCTAATTTATTAATGGAAAAATTATTTCATGAAAACAAGTTTGTACACAGACTTGTAAGGCTTAACTAAAACAAATCTGTCTAAGCTTGAACAGAAAAAGACTGGTTTACATAATATTACAGTAGAGCTCCATCAACTCAATGGGCACTAGTTCTATTATAAGATCCTTCAAAATGCAAAAATTGAAGTTTTAAACTTTTCATCTGTAGATAAAGAACAATTATCTGATACTTGTTTTCTACTCTAAAATACTCTCTCTTGCCCCAGCCAGAGCTAGAACATAAAATACCACAGGCCTCAAGTCATAACTCTCACTTTTTATTAGCACACTAAAAATGTACGTTTTCATTTACTGAATATATTTCTTGTAACTTAGGTTTAAACAGTAAGTGTGGATGGGAATAGGGAGTTAAGAGGAAGATTTTCAAATATGCCCTTCTCTCTAGTAGCTAGACACCTTTGGCTCCTCATAAATATTTAAAACATATGAAGCACAGAATTTTGGGGTTAAAATGTGCCCAGGTTACATTTATTTTGGGGGACATGTGTGTGTGCAACTAAAACTGATAGTGTTTGAAACTGTTTATAGGTCAAATTCTCACTACTTAAAATTTAGCATCTCTAAAAACTCTTTTGGATTAATCATTAAGTCATGCTAAATTAGAATATGTTCAAAACAGTGAATTGGTATTTTCCTAGGAATTCTCGCATTTATAATCAATACTTATACTAATTTGAGTTGTACAAAACATTGACACATTGAGGAAAATTCTACTTTGCTCATTGTTATACAGAAATAGCTTGCAACTGATTTTTACAATAGTTTTCAGCCTGTCAAAACCTTAAGTCCTCTGAATTTTCTAAGAAGAAAAAGTATAAGAAAAAATAGATTTAAATTAATGAGGCATTAGGAGCATGTTGTGATGAAAATGTTACAATATTCTTGATACCAAAGAGTAGATAGTGTAATAAAATATGAAAAACAGGAATTCTGCTCAATGTTTTGAGATTTACTTTCAGATGCTTAATAAAATAACTAGTTAAATGTGGGTACTTAAATATGTATTAAATACAGAAGTCTACAGCAAAAGAATAAGATTAGCACAGGATAGAGCAGGGTGTAGGGCTGTTGTACATAGGGTTGCTATGAGTGCAGGCGACTCAATGGCACATAACAACAGCAACAGTAAGAAAAGTTAAAAATGTACATATCACAGAATGAATAAAAGAAAATATTTTATCTAAAGCATTGTGGCTAACATTTTCAAAGGCTTAGATAATGTAGTTGCTGAAAACCCTAAAAATATCTGGTTAAATCCCATCATAGTTTATATTCAACACTGGTTCAAAGCAACACAGATACAGCTCACAGCAGAGCAGGTTAGGTTTCTATCAAGAGATAACCAACCCCCTGGGTCAACTCTAGTAAGACTAGATTATAATCCATTAGGTCTTCATTGACTGATTTTCAGAAGTAAATCACTAGCCTTTCTTCCTAGCCTGTCTTATTCTGTTATTCTGTCAGCTCTTCTGAAATCTGCTCAGGATTATAGCAACATGCCAACTTCCACTGAAAGATGAATGGCAGCTATATATGAAGTGCATTGACTAGAAACTGAAGCTGGGTTTTCCATACAGAAGGCAAGCATTCTAATGCTGAACTACTATTGCCCTAAAAAAGTCCTTACCACACCTTCATTATTAAGTGTCCATACACCTGTCACATTTTTAGAATAAGAGACCAAGTCTCTCCTTGGAGGCTAGGATTTTGAAGCTCCGTCTCACATACTTTGAGCACGTGACCAGGAAGGATCAGTCCTTAGAAAAAGACATCATGCTGGGAAGGGAGGAGGGACAATGCAGGAGAGGAAAACCCAGATGAGATGGATTGATACAGTAACTGGGATAATGGGGGTAGATGTGTCAGAGACACTAAGACTGGCTCAGGACAGGGCAAACTTCAGAGCTATTATATGCAGGGTTGCTATGAGTTGCAGGGTGACTCGATGTCACATAACAACAGTGATAACACTGTCCATTGATTAATAATGGTTTCAGTAACTTCAAGGCAGACTAAAGTGTATATATATATATATATATATATATATATATATATATATATATATTTACACAAATAATGCTCATGTGGTAGGTGTGTAATACAGATTTATGTATATGTGGAAAATACTGCACTTTGTAGAGCTTTTGGATAAGACAAGTACTTAAAAAGTAAGCATGCTTAATGAAACAAGGCAACATATAGACGCATCTTCTTGTCTCAAGTAAGTGCAGGCATCAGAGGATACTCACACATTCCGTGTGCACAGGATGCACAGCGAACAGCAGTGCGGCCAGCAGGGACGCTCGAGGGGCCAGGTTCAACCGCCGTCCTTTGCTGGTGTACTGCAGGCCACCAAATAGTATGGAGAAGACATCCACCATGAGGACAGAAACGCCACTGTGCAGAAGGAGGTTGACCACATGAAAACCCACCGGGTGAAAGCCTCCTGATAAATAGTAGTTAATTCTGTAATAAACAAAGGACATCTGCTTTAGAAGCACAGATGTATGCACATCAAAATAGAAAAGATCTGAAGGAAAAGTTTGTGAGTAAATAAAATTGAAAAGGAAAAGCAAAAAGACTTTGTGCAAGGTTGGTAAAAATAGTATCAAGATAAATAATCCCTGTCAAGCTAAGAGTTTTGAAGAAGAGGTATGACTGTGAGGAACTGCATAGGGGAAAAAGGGAAGAAAAGGGCATTTCAAAGGCGAGTGACAGGCAATACCTGGAGAGGCGAAAGCTAGACTTTTTTAAGTGTTGGGGAGGAAGCATGCTTCCATTCCAAGAAGATATGCCACATTATTCACAGGCACCAAGACGATCCGGAGCTAAGACAGTTGTGCCACTTGCTTATTTGAAAAAAAAAAAAAAGTGCTCTTTTACAGAATGTCAACCAGCCTAAAGCCCAGTGAAATATCTTCCCATTGTCAGGGATTCACATTTATGACTCCTTTGCAATTGCCAATTCATCACTTCAGTGTTTCTCTGAGAGATCTATACACAAATATCTAAAGGCACCCAAGAAGTAGCTATGAATATGAATTTTAGTGAAGTGAGTAAATTTACTGAATACAAACAGGTCCCTGATTAATGGGAGGGGGCTCTTTGATGTTTATTCTTAATTTTGCATATTGGTAGATGATTTATACATTATATTTTCAAGTTCATTTTCTCTGTGCATATTCTCTCAATTTTAACTCAATTTTTATGGAGTCAATTTCATCTTACAGTGATCCAACAGGACACAGCATACTTGTCCTACAGTTTCCAAAGCTATCATCTTTACTAAAGCAGACTGCCACATCATTCCCCCAGGGAGCAGCTAATGGGCTTGAACTGGCAACCTTTCAGTTAGCAGTCTCACAGCCTCTGTGCGAGCAGGGCTCCTTTGCTTTTAATATTGCTATGATCTAACTGAGTGTGGAAACTACAGAACAATATCATTGATTTCACATGCAAGCAAGATTCTACTGAAGATTATCCAAAAACGACTGGAACAGTACA